CAACTAGCCAATCTGAACATGATTCTAGAACTTGGCCCAATTTGGTTGATATAAAGTTTGGGTCAGAGTGAGAAAAGAGAATTGTACTGTCATCAGCATATACAATAAGTTTGCAAGCAGGATCTATACTGATTTGCATGTCATTTACATAAGTTAGAAATAATAAAGAGCCTAAAATACTCCCTTGAGGAACTCCACAATCAACTTCAGCTTCTTTAGATTTTACTCCATGTACATAGACAACTTGTTTTCTTTTATGCAAATAAGACTTGAACCATTTTTATACAGATTTAACTCCATTAATTTCCAATTTGTTACAAAGTACATGGTGATCGACTGTGTCGAAAGCTTTCTTCAGGGTCAAGCATTATCATACTATAACAAGTGTTTTAACATATATTCAAACGTGCCATAAGAAGCTCACAGCTTTCAATCGGCGTCATCGCTATATGATCCCTTAGCAGTTTGTTTTTTAATATGATCAAATAGATTAATTAAACAACTGTCTGTAGAATAACCACTTCTGAATCTAGATTGTAACTCATAGAGTTTATTACTAGAAACTAGAAAATGTTCCAGTTGGACGTAGACAGCTTTTTCAAGAATTTTGGAAACTGTGCTTAGTATGCTCACAGGTCTACACTTTTCAACTTGAAGTTTATCTTTTTTCTTAAATAAAGGTTTAACTATTGCTAACTTGAGTTTATCGGGTACTGATCCGCTACTTATAGATGTATTAATGAGAAAAGTAATAGGAATTTTCAATACATCAGCCCCGTCTTTCAAAAACCGAGCAGGTATTCCGTCTAGACCAGTGATTTTGTAAGGGTTTATATTGCAAAGTTCTCTATGAACAAAATCTTCAGAAATATGTTTCAGATGAAAACATACATTTCCAGAATTTCTAGTTTGATCTGAGCCAAAATGAAAAATATTCTTTGGATCAGGTAGTCTATTAACTAAGCTTGAGGCAATGGTAGTGAAAAAGTAATTGAAAAAATTGGCTATAGTATGACCGTCAAACAGCTTTTATCCTCAATATTTAAGACAATGTTGGAATTGAATTTTTTCCCTTTTCATATCCTAGATCTTTCAAATGTTGCCACAGTTTTTTGGGTTTGTTACGAGTTTCTTCGATCTTGTTTTGAAAAAAAATCTGATTTTGCTTCATTAATTTCACTTTGGATCTTATTTTAAGTAGACAAAAAAAATTGTAAGTCAGATTCATTATTGTGTTTTTTGTATTGATGGAAAATTTATCTCTCAAACGAATTTTGTCTAAAATATCTGAGTTCATCCATAGTTTAGTTCTCTGCTTCAGTCTAATTTCTTTGACTGGAGCTAAAATATCCAAAACTTTCATAAATATTTCTTTAAATTTTGACCAAGATTCCTCCTGACTCTGAGCACAAAAACATTCTTCCCAATTAGCATTACATTAAGGGCTTTTCTTTGAAGAGATCTTTGTTGTAGTTTTTTGTAGATCTTATTTTCACTGAATTGTGTTTATGATAAGGACCCTAGAACTGTGTTACTGTCTAGGACCTTGTACTGTCACACAGGGATGATAAGGACCCTAGAACTGTGTTACTGTCTAGGACCTTGTACTGTCACACAGGGGTGATAAGGACCCTATAATTGTGTTACCGTCTAGGACCGTGTACTGTTACACAGGGGTGATAAGGACCCTATAATTGTGTTACCGTCTAGGACCTTGTAATGTCACACAGGGGTGATAAGGACCCTAGAACTGTGTTACTGTCTAGGACCTTGTACTGTCACACAGGGGTGATAAGGACCCTATAACTGTGTTACTGTCTAGGACCTTGTACTGTCACAAAGGGGTGATAAGGACCCTAGAACTGTGTTACTGTCTAGGACCCTGTACTGTCACACAGGGGTGATAAGGACCCTATAAATGTGTTACTGTCTAGGACCTTGTACTGTTACACAGGGGTGATAAGGACCCTATAATTGTGTTACCGTCTAGGACCTTGTACTGTAACACAGGGGTGATAAGGACCCTATACTTGTGTTACCGTCTAGGACCGTGGACTGTTACACAGGGGTGATAAGGGCCCTATAATTGTGTTACCGTCTAGGACCGTGTACTGTTAATGTGTTACTGTCTAGGACCGTGTACTGTCACACAGGACCCTAGAACTGTGTTACTGTCTATGACCGTGTACTGTCACACAGGGGTGATAAGGACCCTAGAACTGTGTTACTGTCTAGGACCTTGTACTGTTACACAGGGGTGATAAGGGCCCTATAATTGTGTTACCGTCTAGGACCTTGTAATGTCACACAGGGGTGATAAGGACCCTATAACTGAGTTATTGTCTAGGACCTTGTACTGTCAAACAGGGGTGATAAGGACCCTATAAATGTGTTACTGTCTAGGACCGTGTACTATCACACAGGACATTAGAACTGTGTTACTGTCTATGACCTTGTACTGTCACACAGGGGAGATAAGGACCCTAGAACTGAGTTATTGTCTAGGACCTTGTACTGTCACACAGGGATGATAAGGACCCTAGAACTGTGTCACTGTCTAGGACCTTGTACTGTCACACAGGGTTGATAAGGACCCTAGAACTGTATTACTGTCTAGGACCTTTTACTGTCACACAGGGGTGATAAGGACCCTAGAACTATGTTACTGTCTAGGACCTTGTTCTGTCACACAGGTGTGATAAGGACCCTAGAAATGTGTTACAGTCTAGCTATATGCTTACGATGTAAATACCATCCCAATGATGGTATAGGGAATGGCAGTTTTACCGAAAGTTGATCTTAACCCGTAAAATATTTTATATTTTTTCTGAATTACCACATGAGATCAGGTCCAAACATAACAAAACTGTGACATATTAGCAGGTTCCTGTGCCGGGATTAACACTACATACCAATCCCAGACACTGTAATCCTCTAATGCTTTGATATATATAGTAATAACGTACGACACGTGTAGGTGTGAAATGTTTACTTACCTTTTGAAGACGGCACCTAATAATCCGTTTTGTTACGTAACAGGACTTTTACAACACTATTCCTATCGGGAACTGACCATAGGCAATTAAGCTAATGACGTAAGTCACGTAAATCTCGGATAACTTATATGATTACCGGCCACGTTTTATCGTGACAAACCTGTTCCTTGTTATTGGGTGCTCGAACCTGACCGGCACTCTGGGTTTCATTTAAGAAATATCGGAATAGTCCGCTATCAAGTCCAAAAGTGTTCTATAATTGAATTTTAAAGTTAACATGTATCAACTCATGTTTAAGTATTTAAAACGTGAAAAAAACCTCTTGTGGAATGGACCTAATATGGGCCATATTAAGTCCTTTCCACACGAGTCGTAACCATTTTATGGTTTGACTTGAAATGAACAATTAATTGTCTGTATAACCATCAATATATCCCAGTAATCGAACCGTTTCTTTGTCTCCCATCTCTTAACAGAAGTTTTGGTAAAATATGCATATGAAACACTCAATATAGCAAAATGTTTAGATAGCGTTTACACAAACTAAGGTCATTTTTTTGAAAGAGCAGAAAAAACTGCACTTCGTTATACAATGGTTCTTACGTTCTTGAGGGGGCGTCACTTGCCTACGACAACATTTGGACAGTCCGTCAAACGACGTTGTGATGTTTTTTTCAATTGTGACGTCATGATAAAACGCCGTCATCTAATTGTGACGTCATACTACTACAGGTCACTAAATGCGCTCACGTGATAATGTGTAGAATAGAAAGGGTACAGAAATGGATCAAAAACCGAGGTTTGGCGAGGATTTTCAACCCAAATCATGTTCTCCAAATGTTGGATAATTCTATCCTACATAACTAACATACATGTATGATAGAGCTCATTGCTTACATCGCTCGCCAATTTATTGGATCGAAATATGAAGCCAACATCTAGTGGCAAAACAGCAACTTCTTTATTACTGAACCACCGTGGCAAAACAGCAACTTCTTTATTACTGAACCACCGTGGCAAAACAGCAACTTCTTTATTACTGAACCACCGTGGCAAAACAGCAACTTCTTTATTACTGAACCACCGTGGCAAAACAGCAACTTCTTTATTACTGAACCACCGTGGCAAAACAGCAACTTCTTTATTACTGAACCACCGTGGCAAAACAGCAACTTCTTTATTACTGAACCACCGTGGCAAAACAGCAACTTCTTTATTACTGAACCAACTTCCACACTATCTATGCATATTATAGTATGTGGCACTATAAATGATACCGTTGGAAGCACGGTCCCACTCCTAAACCGGAAGTGATATCCACACAAAAGTGATCCGCGTAAGAAAATAATCCGTCATAAAAAAAAACAATATAAAGTTACGAAAAAGTATTGTGGGGATAATGACACCATTTCAAGCGTAAATGTGCATATAGACAAGCCAATGACGAGAGGATTGATTTGAAAATACTTTTGTCTACATAGGTTTATCTTCTATTTGTTAAAGTTTGTCACAGAACGAGGATTTGCGATCGCTGATCATTGAGCTTAGACGTCATTTGGAAAACATTGTGTTTAGTTGACTTTTTTTTAAATGGAGAAATATCTAAGGTACATAGGTGATTCACGTTTTATCACACAGATTTTCAGTCTTTGTCGTTCGAACACGTGGATCGAGAGGTTACCGCTACAAACCCTGAAAATACAGTGTGATCTATAAATCTTACATGGTTTTCTATCATGAGAAATGCTGTGGCTAGCTATTTAAGAAACGTTTCCCACATGGTGTATCAAAATATGTCAACTACCTCAAATAAATCGAAGTTGGCAGAAATATGACATCATAATTATAACTATTGCTATAACACTCATAAACAAACGATAACCGCTAACAGAAGAGTGATTGCGAAGGTAGTTTTAATGGCACAGCCCGAGTTTACATGTATTTATACAAACACTGTCGCGTCACAGATCCCAGTATAAACACTGTTTAACCATTGATCGACGAGTCCTGGTGTTATAAGGGGCGAGCTTTTAAAATCCACAGACGACTGTGGACACACATCTATTGTAGTCCGATAGCCATTCTACATTCAACCTCAGCTGGTTAATATGAAATCTCTACGGACAATTACACGGACCAGTGGTATTTCCAGCTAAGAATAGTGTGTTGTCTTGACCAGTGTTTGGAGACAGTGAGTCCGACTGGTAGCATTTTAATCGTTTTGAGGCCAGGTGTCATTTCTCTAACAGTGTTACATGAGTAGCTTTAACGGGTCATGCTAAATAATATAACAGTAGTGTGATTTATCGTGCGTGGATTATAACAAAGGTGCTTTACCTGGATGGTGTAATTAATTACCGGGAGAAAGGGAAGGACAGTTTCTGTAACGTACCGGATACCCGGACACTGAGCCCAGAAACATTCGTTCGTAGTTGGCGTTGATAGCTACTCAATCCCATTTGTGTTCCGAATTTTCAAGGACTGTAGACAGATACACTTTGGGATATTTCTTGGTTTTCTCTGTATATATCGGTTAACTGTCCAAACAAACGGCTATCACCTGGGTCTGGATCTGTACGTCGGGTTAACATGAGCGAACAAAAGGTGAGTATCGTAAAGAAACTATCATATTGATTAGAATGAAACCCCAAAACCTGACATCCCCTAATATTATCGAAGGATAGATGTACATTTAACAGTCTGGCTTAAGTACATGTACGGGTATATTTAGGACAATTATCCTTCGGCCACAACCTAAACGACGTGTAAATATTAATTAATACTATTGCGACAATTAGACTTCACTAGACGTCTATATATATGTATCATACAATATGTATGCCATTCTTCGCGCACTCCATCATCAACCAATCAATTAACGAAATGCAGCAGGCTTTCCGTGGATGTCTTGTACCTATGAGATACCTATGAGATAAACAAAAAGGAAAGAAAGAGGAAGGGAACAAAATCAGCGATATGGTTTTAGTACTCGAAACTTTCTGCCTTCACTATCTAGTGTTCCGTTATAATTATATCAGTTCATGAACACTGTAATATGAATTCGATATCAAAGGAGGCCCACTATCGTTTTCACGATTCTGTTTGTTAAGGCTGGGGTATTCAAAACGTACGACAGCGCAGAGTCACCGGGCAACATACATGTCCGTCTTCATTTGACGCACAGTAAGTTGTTGTGAGCAGGTTAAACCCCAAACAAACAAACAACGAGGCAAACTGTCAAACTCGGTTGCCTTCCGGTGAATTGATTGCGACCGTAATCCGAAGATTTATTTATTGTTCCGTCTGTCGATCAGATGTTAAATTTCTTTCCTATTAGAACGCACTTTGACTGGCGATCACTTAACCCTGCGCGTGACATGTGATTACCATCCAGGCGTGCGTGTAAGCTAACTCATCCAAAAATAACACAATTAACAATTGCATGTCATCCCGGTATGAACTCCCATATTCAGATAACTATATAATATATATATGTGTGTTCTGTGTGTACTCGGCTTCTGTATGTAAACAGTACTTAAATACATTAGTGAAATCATTGGCGCATCCAATTTCATTTCCTATATACTGTACACGGAGTTCTATTTTAAAGTTTCCTTATCAGTCAGTTTCTTAAAAAGAAGTTGTTCGAAATATTTTCCCGTGTCAATCATAATAAATCTAAGGACAGTCAACTTTTTGGGAAAACGAAACGAAACGAAAAAAAAAAAACTCACCTTGGTATATTATTTTCGGTTAATTTTATCTCTCAATTTTTGAGATTGCTAACGAAATAATAGTCAACCAGATTTTTACAATTCTTACATCATTTAGATTCCTACACGGAGCTGTCACCGGACAGAGATCCAGACACCAGTACCTAAATTAACTCTGAAAACGTTTTCCATTTACTACATGTGCTATTATCTGAACACTATTAACCGTTGTAAACGTCATCTTAATTGTACGTTACTACTGGTGACGTCATGTAAATGTTGAGTTTGTGTTTCTAATTGAGAAGGTAACGTCGCGTGCATTACAAGTCCCTCAAACTGTCGCTTAGTTGTAATGATGCACCACAAGGAGCTAGCGATGCCATTATACACATACGCACCAAATTTGAGCAGGATCGAAAACAAATAATAAATTCATTCTGCAATAGCTTACTTACATATTGAATTTGATTAAAATAAAACAATATCTCTATTTCAACCATTTGCAATCAGATGCCAGTTTATGCGGCGATTTTGTTTGGCAGGTAAATAAAGGATGCAGAAAATTTCGTCGTGCCAAAATAAACATACAAACCAGATATGTTCGACATTAGGCTGTAATGTAGCGTGGTTTACGGTTCCTAAGCACGACACATTGACCATGTGCTATGATTGCGGTTTATGCACGTGCGTGATTTCCAACAATGTAATCCTTGATAATAGCCGGAGTAGCGTTTCTTATATCTAGGTACTCTTAACAGACCAGAAGCAGAAACAAATCTTTTTAAATTTCACATTTCGACAGTATCACGTATTCAACTCTTGCTCAACTCGGCTGTACAGAGGCCGCGCCTGTACGTCTACACTAGTGTCTGGAAAGCACTCTCTTGGAAACTTCTGAAACCGACTGACAAAAGAAAAAATAATTATTATAACAATTGCTGATTATCACGGCGGTCGCTACAAAGAGTCCCAAAACGACACCGCAGTCATAAATGATGCTAACGGAAGTCACTGTATCGTTCGTAAACTGGATAGAAATCGGTCGTTATCTCAATTTAGACCAATCAAAGGCTACGGTGGCCATATTGGTTGCGCAGTTGCAAAAAATATCCATCAATACTCATAATAAGTTTCAATAAGTGAAATCCGCATAGAATAATAACCTCCCCTTAATTTCATTTTGGATATTGCCTCAGATCACAGATGCACTTCCGGGTCGTTTTACACGAAAGCAGTGCATTTTAGGTCAGTTACTAAATATTTTTTCCGGTCTGATCTATGACCCATATTTACAGTTGTTTTACATAGAATTATTTAACAATATCTATTCTAGTAATTACATTTTGTGACACGCTTTTCATGTCTGTATTCGCAGCACAATGAGTGTTGAGGCTTGCGCATTGATATTTTGTGTTTTTCGGTATTTTCCCCTATACATGCAGGGTACATATAAGTAGTAACATTCAAATGAAATTATCTTTCCTAAATGCCGGACATGAGGTACTTTCCAGCTCACTGTAGGTTTAGTTTGAATAAATCTACAATTTGAAATTGAAACCAGACCCTGCGCAAAGTTTTAAAACATTTTAATTTCATTTTTACGTTGGTAGTTACATAGAGTAGAATTAATTGTGGTCTGAGGCCTGTATAACTGTAGCACAGTAGGGCCAGCACACTTCTGTTGACCAGGCAGTTCAGTCGGTTAGAGCGATAATATAACAGGGTCTGAATCACGGTCTTATCCTGCTGGACTTTTACAACCAGAACCCTGTGGATGACTATGTTTATCTTATAACTAATATTTTTCATAAAAGTCCCACACGGTATGGTTTGCTTTTTAGAAATGATTTATCAAAGCTCTAGTCACATCGCCAATAGTAGTGTTTTGGTTTATTGTGCATAACTTTGTTTACAATGGTATGAGGATCCTTAAATGTGTGTTTATAGTATACAACAAATCAAGTAAAGCCTTGTCAGCTTAACATGGGTATTGTAAATCAAGATCAACTAGGTGTAAGTGTCGCATGGTTTTGCTTTCACTAACACGTCTACAAACATTCATTTAGCATAAACTATATTAAATAGGAAACTACTTAATTGTCACAAATGAGTTATTTAAAAGAAATAATTATATGAAACAAATTTAATCAACATTCATATTACTCGAAGCAGAATGCAACATTTGTTGTTCTGCGGTTGGGATCATACATACAATATAAAGTATTTGATAAAGGCCTGTATACACTGGACCTTTTGAACGAAAGCCAGTAGTAAAAGTATTTAAACAAACAACCATCTGATACCCAGGCGTAACGTAGCGACACGCAGTAGGTGTGACGATTGTTGTACCTACAACTATTTATTTTGAACTTTAACAAATACTTAAGCGCCCGAAGACGTTTAAAGTCCCTAATACATATGATAATATGTGTACGATGTATAAAAATCATGACAAAAATCCTTTATAGTTCTTAGTTTTGATAAAATTATTTGGCAATAGCACATGGATAAATGTTAAGCCCCAAGTGTAGGTCTCATTTTTTATGGATCCTTAACAATAAACGGAAATGTCTCCATCTATTTTTAATATAAGTAAAAATAGTAAGTTTTATGATACCTGCATAATGCAGTGTTTATATGGATATGATACCTAAGAGCCGTCTAAATGACAGATGCCCTATATTTGACTTACACATGTATTTAAACATCTTATCCCAGACATTTAAGAGTAACCCTCCAACACAGCACTGCATCGAAACGATGACAGGTTCTTTGTAACAGACGATATATCATTTATTCGAATGTTTCCATTTATAAGCCGATATCATTTATCAAATAAAACTATTTATTAAACGAATTTAATGGTCTCCCTTTATAAGCCGATATTCTTCGTTAGATATACCCCCTTTCTTGAACGAATTTAATGGTCTCCCTTTATAAGCCGATAGTCTTTGTTAGATATACCCCCTCTATTGAACGAATTTAATGGTCTCCCTTTATAAGCCGATAGTCTTAAGATATACCCCCTCTACTGAACGAATTTAATGGTCTCTCTTTATAAGCCGACAGTCTTCGTTAGATATACCCCCTCTATTGAACGAATTTAATGGTCTCCCTTTATAAGCGGATATTCTTCGTTAGATATACCCCCCTTATTGAACGAATATAATTGTCTCCCTTAATAAGCCGACAGTCTTCGTTAGATATACCCCCTTCATCGAATTAATTGTCTCCCTTAATAAACTGACTTTTTATTGCCTTTTTTTCAGCAGGAACAAGTCAAAACGGCGGCCACTCCAGCCAAGCCTAAGGTAACCATATTAACACAATGGCATTTACATTGTTTCTTGTGTCTTTGGCTTACTCGCTTCTATTTTTTTCAAATAATCAAATGATCTATATATTTCTTAATGTGTCAAACTTCATGTTCAGTTCCCAGTTTGAATGTTTCAAAAGATTTCAAATATAAAAAGTCACTTATTAAAAAAAAAAAGAAGAAGATCGAAACAACCCGGAAAATCAGGGACATAGCACCATGAGCTGTTGTAATCAGGGACATAGCACCATTAGCTGTTGTAATCAGGGACATAGCATCGTTAGCTGTTGTAATCAGGGACATAGCACCGTTAACTGTTGTAATCAGGGACATAGCACCGTTTACTGTTGTGATCATGGACATAGCACCATTAGCTGTTTTAATCAGGGACATAGCACCGTTAACTGTTTTAATCAGGGACATAGCACCATTAGCTGTTGTAATCCGGGACATAGCACCGTAAGCTGTTGTAACCAGGGGCATAACACCGTCAACTGTTGTAACCAGGGGCATAGCACCGTTAACTGTTGTAATCAGGGACATAGCACCAAAAGCTGTTGAAGTCAGCGACATAGTACCGTTAACTGTTGTAATCGGGGGCATAGCACCATAAGCTGTTGTAATCATGGATATAGCACTGTTAACTGTTGTAATCAGGGACATAGCACCATTTACTGTTGTAATCACGGACATAGCACCGTTAAATGTTGTAATCAGCGACATAGCACCGTAAGCTGTTGTAATCGGGGACATAGCACCGTAAGCTGTTGTGATCATGGACATAGCACCGTAAGTTGTTGTAATAAGGGACATAGCACTGCAAGCTGCTGTAAGCAGGGCCATAGCACCGTTAACTGTTGTAATCAGGGACATAGCACCATTAGTTGTTGTAATCAGGGACATAGCACCGTAAGCTGTTGTGAGCATGGATATAGCACCGTCAACTGTTGTAACCAGGGGCATAGCACCATTAACTGTTGTAATCAGGGACATATCACCGTTAACTGTTGTAATCAGGGACATAGCACCGTAAGCTGTTGTTACCAGGGACATGGCACCATTAGCTGTTGTAATTAGGGACATAGCACCGTAAGCTGTTGTGATCATGGATATAGCACCGTCAATTGTTGTAACCAGGGGCAGTGCACCGTCAACTGTTGTAACCAGGGACATAGCACCGTAAGCTGTTGTGATCAGGGACATAGCACTGCAAACTGTTGTAATCAGGGACATAGCACTGCAAACTGTTGTAACCAGGGGCATAGCACCGTTAACTGTTGTAATAAGGGACATAGCACCGTAAGCTGTTGTAATCAGGGACATAGCACAGTTAACTGTTGTAATCAGGGACATAGCACCGTAAGCTGTTGTAATCAGGGACATAGCACCGTAAGCTGTTGTGATCATGGGTATAGCACTGTTAACTGTTGTGATCATGGACATAGCACAGTTAACTGTTGTAAGCAGGGACATAGCACCGTAAGCTGTTGTAATAAGAGACATAGCACTGCAAGCTGCTCTAACCAGGGGCATAGCACCGTAAACTGTTGTAATCAGGGACATAGCACCGTAAGCTGTTGTAATCAGGGACATATCACCGTAAGCTGTTGTAATCAGCGACATAGCACCGTTAACTGTTGTAATCAGGGACATACCACCGTAAGCTGTTGTAATCAGGGACAAAGCACCGTTAACTGTTGTAATCAGGGACATAGCACCGTTAACTGTTGTAATCAGGGATATAGCAATAAAAGCTGTTTAAATCAGGGACATAGCACCGTAAGCTGTTGTAATCAGGGACATAGCACCATAAGCTGTTGTAATCAGGGACATCGCACCATAAACTGTTGTGATCATGGATAAAGCACTGTTTACTGTTGTAATCAGGGACATAGCACAGTAAGCTGTTATAACCAGGGACATAGCACTGCAAGCTGTTGTAACCAGGGGCATAGCACCGTTAACTGTTGTAATCAGGGACATAGCACCATTAACTGTTGTAATCAGGGACATAGCACCGTTAACTGTTGAAATCAGCGACATAGTACCGTAAGTTGTTGTAACCAGGGGCATAGCACCGTTAACTGTTGTAATCAGGGATATAGCACCATTAACTGTTGTAATCAGGGACATATCACCTTTAACTGGTGTAAGCAAGGACAAAGCACCGTTAACTGTTGTAACGATTGACATACCACCGTAAGCTGTTGTAATCAGGGACAGATCACCTTTAACTGATGTCATCAGGGACAAAGCACCGTAAGCTGTTGCTATAAGGGGCATAGCACCTTTAACTGATGTTATCAGGGACAAAACACCACTAACTGCTGTGATCAGGGACATAGCACCGTTAACTGTTGTAATCAGTGACACAGTACCGTTAACTGTTGTAATCAGGGACAAAGCACCGTAAGCTGTTGTAATCAGCGACATAGCACCGTAAGCTGTTGTAATCAGGGACATAGCACCGTAAGCTGTTGTAATCAGGGACATAGCACCGTTAACTGTTGTAACGATTGACATAGCACCGTAAGCTGTTGTATTCAGGGACAGAGCACCTTTTATTGATGGTATTAGGGACATAGCACCGTTAACTTAACTGTTGTTTTGGACATAGCACCGTTAACTGCTGTTATCATGGACATAGCTTCATTAACTCTTGTGTTTAGGGACATACAACCGCTAACTATTGTTATTAGGGATAAAGCACCGTTAACTTAACTGTTGTTATAAGGGACATAGCGCTGTTTACTGTTGTGATCAGGGACATAGCACCGTGAACTCTTGTGTTTAGGGACATTGCACCGTAAGCTGTTGTTACCAGGGACATATCACCGTAAGCTGTTGTTATCAGGGACATATCACCGTAAGCTGTTGTTATCAGGGACATATCACCGTAAGCTGTTGTTATAAGGGGCATAGCACTGTTTACTGTTGTTATCAGCGACATAGCACCGTAAGCTGTTGTTATCAGGGACATATCACCGTAAGCTGTTGTTATCAGGGAGATATCACCATAAGCTGTTGTTATCAGGGACAGAGCACCGTTAACTGTTGTTATCAGGGACATATAGCCCCGTTAGGTATTTTAATTATGGACATAGCACCGTTAGATGTTGTTATCAGGGACATAGCACAGTTAGCTGTTGTAATCAGGGACATAGCACTGTTAACTGTTGTTATTAGGGACATATCACCGTTAACTGTTGTAATCAGGGAGATATCACCGTAAGCTGTTGTTATCAGGGAGATAGCACCGTTAACTGTTTTGATCACGGTACCAAAGTACGCCGTCAATTAACAACACCATTTCAACATCCTGAACAGACCACTTTAATTCCAATGACAGTTAAGATTTATTGTTGATAAGGATTTGTGTGAGGTCGAGCGAAACGCTTGTCTTTTGTATCTATACAATAAACAGGAACATACAATAGGAGTAACTTTTAATTAAACGGTTAAAGAGGCAGGGTCTTATATACGCCATTTATACAACCATTTATATGTTGATTCTAAAATATTTGTGTTGGCGCCTTTGTTATTTCTAGATTATGAAATGAGGAAATGCTTAATAGATTTCTCGTACATTTGTATACGTACAAATAGTGCTTTGGGTTGGTTAGATGTAATGATGGACACGTTTGCTTACTACTGTCTACTTCACTTGTCTGGTAGACCCCTTTTTGATGATTACTTTAGGAATATTTAAAAGATTGTCGCAAATAATGACTCAGCATCGCTTTGTCGAGTGGTCCAAAGAAAACCAGAGCAAATCTATTAAAAACTGCATTGAAAAGACATGCTCTATTGTCAACGACTGAAAACGATACGGGTACGACGTGTAAACGTGACAATACGGGGACGACATGTTAACGTGACAATACGGGTACGACGTGTAAACGTGACAATACGGATACGCCGTGTAAACGTGACAGTACGGGTACGACATGTAAACTTGACAATACGGGTACGACGTGTAAACGTGACATTACGGGGACGACATGTAAACTTGACAATACGGGTACGACGTGTAAACGTGACAATACTGGTACGACGGGTAAACGTGACATTACGGGTACGACATGCAAACGTGACAATAGGGATACGACGTGTAAGCGTGACAATACGGGTACGACATGTAAACTTGACAATACGGGTACGAGGTGTAAACGTGACAATAAGGATACGACGTGGAAACGGGACAATACGGATAAGACGTGAAAACGTGACAATACGGGTAGGACGTGTAAACGTGAAAATACGGATAAGACGTGTAAACGTGACCATACGGATACGACGTGTAAACGGGACAATACGGGTACGACGTGTATACGTGACAATACGGATACGACATGTAAACGGGACAATACGGACACGACGTGTTAACGTGACAATACGGGTGGGACGTCTAAACGTGACAATACGGATAAGACGTGTAAACGTTACAATACGGATACGACGTGCAAACATGAAAATACAGATAAGACTTGTAAACGTGACAATACGGATCCGACGTGTAAACGTGACAAGACGGATACGACATGCAAACGCGACAATACGGATACGACGTGCAAACATGAAAATACAGATAAGACTTGTAAACGGGACAATACTGGTACGACGTGTAAACGTGTCAATACGGAGATGACGTGGAAACGTGACAATACGGGTTCGTCGTGTAAACGTTACAATACGGGCACGACGTGTAAACGTGGCAATGCGGGTGGGACGTGTACACGTGACAATACGGATACGCCATGGAAACGTGAAAATACGGGTACGGCGTGTAAACGCGACAATACGGATACGACGTGGAAAAGTGAAAATACGGATACGACATGTAAAAGTGAAAATACGGGTACGACGTGTACACGTGACAATACGGGTACGACTTGTAAACGTGAAAATACGGATACGAAGTGTAAACGTGACAATACGTATACGACGTGGAAACGTGACAATACGGATAAGACGAGTAAACGTGACAATACGGAG